TTTTTTGAAACAACTTAAAATTAAACTTGAAAAGTCCAAAATTGCCTATTTTCACCAACTTTGGCGGATCGTACTTCTGAAGTACGATCCGCCAAAGTTGGTGAAAATAGGCAATTTTGGACTTTTCAAGTTTAATTTTAAGTTGTTTCAAAAAACGTAGGAAGTTGAAATTTATTTATTAAATTGCCACTGCCTTAGTCAACAATGTTACGAGAGGTCGTGGTGTTACAATGCATCTTAGTGCTAATAATTTGCGTGCAAAATTCTGCAATATTTACAATTTTGGAAATTGCATAACTCAATTTCTAATAAACGTAGTAGAAAATGCATTTAATAATGCGATTCTACGTAGTCTCAGCTTTACTTAAAAGTCCAAAAACGCGTTTCTAGCTCGACTAGGACCATAGATAGCGCTTTAACCCTAAAGGATACTTTTCCTCTTGGGGGCGAAGTTTGGGGCTGCATATCTCGAGATCTGTTAGAACCAGAGAGCCAAAATTTTTGGATTTTTTCATAAGTCTTGATTGCCAGCATGCAATAATTTTTTCCAAGCAAATCGGAGTCTGGAGCCCAACGGAAGTGACTAAAATTTGACCACTTGAGCTGGAACGCCTCAACTCCGAGGCAAAGCATGAGACCAAGCTCATATAGGAAGCATTCGAGAGAACATGGAAAGCAAAACCAGTGCTTTTTACAGTTTTTTTTTTACAATCGAAGCAAGAAGACCGGGGAAATGGTAACGCTCTTTTCATGATATATGATAGAAATTTCTGAAGTGGAATTCATCCTGTTTTTATCAGAAAACATGTAAAAAATATTTCCTTTCACTGGAAAGGAGACGTAAGAAGGAGTGGATTTTTCTCCATTGGGTGATTTGGGGGGGAATAACCCATAGGACATTGCAAGCGAAAAACTAGCCATCCCACGGTGGGACAAAAGTCCATTTTCCTTGCCAAAATTAAAAAAAATCGAATTTTTTGGTATGTTTATGATACTACAGGTCAAACCTCGTTACAAGGAACTTCAGGGGGTGACCTGATTATTTCGTTGTCCTGAAATTTCATTGTATCGAATATTGCTCGAAGTAAGTTCAAAAGAAACATTCTTTATTCAAATTAGCTATGTCTTCCAACGTACAGACCACAGATGCAGTAATTTTCCACTTTATTGTGTTTGGAGAAAATCCGTCATTTTGGATTGCGCAAGAGTTCGTGTTGCCTTGTCAATGTCATCGTAAAACGCACCGCGCATTCTCTTTCGTTTTGATCTCAGAGCCGCTTTCCTCAACTTTTCTTCCATTTTGGCACAATCCTTCGAGAACGTGGATAACGTAGAGGGAGTGATGTCTAATTCTTTTGCCACGTCTCCTTTTTTCCTGCCGGAATATACTGCTTCTACTACTTTCATTTTTTCTTCTGACGAAAACTGCCCGCATTTCTTGTTTCCCTTGTTAGCCATGTCTGCGGGATGGGGCGCACAGGTACACTGTTGTAAGTGATGAGGTTTTGGCCACGACTAGCCTGCGCCGACTACTGCACGTTCCTCCTTGTGCTAACACTTTTTATGCCATAAGCGTGGGAAACAGAATTCGGACTCTCTCAAGATCCAAAGGGAAGGAGCGAACCATAGACGATCATCTCTTCGCAAACAATCAGGTGTTAGATATTTTTTCGTTATAACGAGTGACTATTATACGTACAAGGACTGGAAAAAAAAGCGTTCGTTGTACTGAATTATTCGTAGTAACGAATTTCGTTGTAACGAGATCTACAAAGTACTATTACTATGGGCCATCGGCCAGGGCTTGGAAATATTTTCGTTATAGTGGGATTTTCGTAGTAACGGAATTCGTTGTAACGAGATTTGACCTGTATACCCCCTAATCACCAAATAACCCAGCTTTAGAAAGCTGCAATTACTTCAACGAAAGCTGAAGCCTTTTTCTAGATAGAACGGTGTAAACTCAACGAAAATCTGACTATCTCTCCACGCCCTCATTTCTTCAGATGCGATGAGAAGTCAATGAAATGATATCCTTTGGAACAGAGTTTTTTAAAGTTCATCTTTCACGTGAATCTTGGAAATTATCAACAGAACAATAGGAAAGTACATTTGTGCGCTCCATAATTGAGGAGTTCTCTGAAAAAGGGGCGTATGTGCCCATACGCCCTTTTTCCATACCCGTGTCCATGTGCAGCTTTAGACGACTTGTCATCAGATAGGGTGGTCAGCAAGTACTTAAGATGAGTATTCAACAAAGGAGAAGCAGATTTTCCTATGCTCTCACTATATAGCAGACCAACTGCCTGGCAATTTCAATATGGCTGCCTCCATGAATATTCCATTAGCACTTGCATGATGAACGATTTTGGTGGAATTATTTCGTCCTTTTAACCTGAAAATAAAAATGAGGGATAAAACTGACATGAGGATAGGGAAAGAAAGAGGCCCAGTCATTCAAGCCTCTGGAAGGAAATGAGAAGTTAGAGATATCCATGAAATAGTTGCAGATTCAGATAATGAATTCATTAATACTGGATCACTGCTGAGTAATTGGCGAATGAAACGTATCCTGAATATTCACATTTTTCTTGCTATTCTTTAAGAAAGAGTTTATTTAAAATCTATCGATGCATATATTGATTAAATATTATTTTTAGCGGGAAAGAAGTGGTGAAAGACTCTTTGGAAAAAGTTTCAGCAGCGCGGATATGGAAAAAGGGCGTATGTGCATAAACCCTTTCTACCTGCATCCCAGCAATGTGAGATAAAGAAATTAATTAAAACCCTAAGTTCATTTTAAAAAATGTATGAGATTCCATTTGACTGATAATTAAGTTTTGACTAGCTTCGATTAGTTATGGGAAGTTTTTATCGTTTATCTCGAATTGCATCATTTGCACATACGCCCTTTTTCCAGAGAACTCCTCAATTCTTATGATTCAACAACTTATTCTACACTGCTTATCCACTTAAGTCAAGGACTCTTCATTTGCCTCAAGCCAATATGTGAGCTTTTTGTTAAATTCATATGCGTTGAAGTCATGTAAAAAGAATTTCGAACGCATCAAGAAAAACATTGTAGAAAACATATCTCACTCCCATTGTCAAAGTAGCTAGAAGTACCAGGTAGTTTTCATATGGATGCTAAAATACTAATGTTAGATTCCAGAAATGTCCAAATCTCCATCGCACTCGATAGCCTTTTTTTGCAGCGCAAAAATGTCATGCCGCGGGCATGACATTCATTGGCATGACAGGGCAAATTCAAGGGAACGTACGGAGACGACATTACTTGAGAAACGCTTCCCACGTGGTATTAATTCAGTGATCAGTTCTTATTCCAACGTACGGAACGCAGAGCACTGCTACAAGGGAATACGCATGCCGTGAGCAGATTTCCGCGTTACTTCTGGTGTGTCCAAACTATGTTCGGTTCGAACTTCATTTTTTCGCATCTAAGTTCGGACACTCACGTAACAGGAATCATTGGAAGCAATAAGGCTTCAATGGTCATCATTTTTATCGCATCCATATATACTCATATTGTACTGCTATACGCAAAAAAAAAAAAAGTATCTGGGTTGTACCATTAAGGCGTGACAAGCGATTTATTAATACAATCCTATCCCGGCTTAACTGTCCGAATATTTTTGGTTTCACCCGACAGCAAAACTCGGGCTGAATGAATTTTTTTTAAGTTCAAATCTATCCTTTGTCATTACTGGCATCTACTACCCTCACATAGGATGTAATAGCAACAAAATCAGCAGTGCAGAAAATTCCATGATGCATTCATGAACGAAAACCAGTTGGACACTAAAGGATATGCAATTTCCATACTGCACCAACAGACTCATTTTGGAGACCAACTTGACAAGTAGTTCATACTAGTCATATAAAAAGGCTAAATTGTTCATTTCAATTGGGTACTATGATTGTACTCTTGCTATTGGAATCAGTTGGAAAATTCATTTAGGACCAGGCTGGAGCCAACTTGGATTCCTTCCAGATTATTATATCGCTGTGACAATAACAAGGGAGTAGGATGCTCCATCCTTCATTCTAAATGAACTGCAGCTCATTTTAAGAGTCTAGTTTTGAAGTTGTTTTAGGTCTCTATGGGAGTAAAGGGTAAATCTCTTACAATGAGACATTTACCATGAAGCCAAGCCGCACAACAGATCCCCAGGATCCAGCTATCACATGAGTTTATTCCCCATCCATAGAGGTACAGGTGAAAGCAAGATAGGGTTTCTTCATTTATACCACACTTGGAGAATGGAATAGGTAGGCAGTTATCTTTTGGAGAAAGCAAGGTATGTGTTTCTAGAATAATGAGGAGTACTCATGAGTGAATACATATGATTTTTTAAAGTCCCAATTTGTATCTAACAGATATTACACTCCTAAATGTAAAAAAAATCGATAAAAATAAACGAAAGATAGAAGGGTGAAAGAGCCGATTCTTTATTGGGATACATGCTAAGGAAGTAAAAAAATTGCTGTTTCCTCTCCACTCCCTCTTTTTCTTTTTAATCGTTCATGAGCCTGAGTGAAATGCTAGGAAATTAAAATTATATGCTGAACAACATATAAAAGTTCAGAGATGTGATTTATATTACAAGCAGAGAATGATACTGCCTAAGGCTCCTGCAGCCTAAATAATTTCCATAACCTGGACAACTTTGTCAAACCCTTTCCACTCAGTGGTTGTGAAAATTTCATTAGAAGTGTTTGGGATTCAACAACCATTGAGCAAAAAACCCTGATGACAGGGCTCCAAGCAAAGCTTGCTTATTCTTGAAATGCAATTTTTCATTTCTTCCATTTTGTCTTCCTCCCACAACTTCTCACTTTCCAACTGTGCTCTCTTTCAGTGTTGGCTTCCGTGCTTCAAGAGCATCTGTGGAACTCAATATTACAAAGAAGCCAGAAGTCCACATGAAGTACAAGAGAGAGAGAGAGGGGAAGAGAAGGAAAGAAAATCTGGTGTCAACCTGTTTGAGAAGATGGAGGCGATTGCACAGAAGCAAGCATCTGCAACCAGCACTGAACCCGTGTAACATCTCTCCACAACAGAGTCCAGCAATGCCCCAGTGTCCCCATTGAACTCCAGTAGGAGTTCCAGTGTTTCTCTCCCCAATTGCTGTACCTGGACAGTGTCAAATTAAATCCATTTCCCATGATCCATGAGAAAGCTATGATAATAGTTTCCTAACTTCTACACACAGTCTACCTTCTTGTCTGGAAACTCCAAGAGGCGATCCAACCAAGGATAAAGAGAGCCATCTTCAAGAAGATCTCTTGGGTCAAAGCATGGACCACAGGCAAGAACTGCACACATGGCTTGCAAAGCCCCCCATTCAAAATCATGCAGTTGGTACTCCTGTTGGTCCTTACTGTGAGATTTTAGACTCAATTTTCCACTCCATGAGGAGAAAAGATGAAAGAGATTCCGTCGAACATCCCGCCCCAAGAGAGTTCGTCGGAGATCCACTGTAGCAAAAGAGAATGGAAATGTGACTTCATCATAAACATAGATTACAACCATTATTTTAAAAAAATGCCAACTTACAAGAAAAGCTCTGAATGAGTTTGTAAATGAAGCTGCAAAAGTAAAGTTTGATTTCTCGCACAGGATTCTCCTTCTCTGGTTCAGATTCAAGGTAGAGCCTGGCTCCATCAATGTACTCAACAAACACAGGGTGCAAGCAATGGTTATCCTTGTCCAACACACATGGACTGAAAACAGTAGATAAGCAATGGTTACAGAACCACAACCAAGAAAGTCTACAACCTCAAAACGACAAATGCTTTGGATTTTCCAACCTGATGCTAAAGGATCCAAGTTGTGCCATGATATAGAAAACCCTAACTAACTGAAGTCTAAGGGCATCTCGTCTCTTTTTCCGTCGCATGTTCTCCTGCTTCCGATCCAGGGCTTCTCTCAAGTATGATATCATTTCATCCATCATGTCCCTGAAAAAATAAGGGTCATGTCAATGTCTATGATGAAATGAAGAATTCTTCATGTATGGGATATGTTAAAAAAATAATGCAGCAGTCATCACACTGACTTCTCTCAGCTGAGAAACTAAACGAATTAAGCTCAATGCAAGGTTAATCTCCCTTCCATGCCTCATATTCTTCCCCATCCCTCTTAAATTTTAGGTTCTTCAACTCTTTGAGGAACACAAATATATATTTATAAGCACACAAAAAAAAGTTTATGTAAATAAGCATGCTATCATTCCATGGCACAATTGTAAATGAACATGGAGTTCTGAATTTTGAAACAACAGATTCTGCCATCCATTGGCTCTAAAATGCATTCACATAATTGACCACTACATGGAAAGTACTTAATAAATTTCCTCTACAAAGGGTTAAAAGAGCATCCCCAGTGTGAAGAACAGAGACGTCCTTCCTTTTCCACCTCATTTCCTTCACTGGAGAACTTTTCCTCTCTGTTTCTCTCAGGTATATAAGTGGCATACTTCCACAATAATTGGAAAGGAAGTCATTGTAAAAGAGAAAAAATGAAATAATACTGTTAGCTCCATTTCAAAAGTGAAAAGGGGTCATGGGAGCCTCTTCCCATTCTGTTCTAGTATTTCCTACACCTTTCTCTGCCTCTCATCATGATGTATCATAAATAAATGAGACCATATGAATTATTTCATAATTAATGTGAAAGTATCTTTCTTTTGGTATTTTGTTATTCCCAATATTGCATGCTCATGAAAATTATTTTCATTGTTGAAAAATAATTTCATGTTATGAATGTTGGTCATTCTCAAAGAAATCAGGGAAAAATAAAATATTTGGTCAAGTAGTAATTTTAGAATTATGATGATTATATTTTCCCACTGCAAGGACGGGACAACCCTGGGACCAATAGAGGTAAACTCATGAAGTCAAAACCATAAAAGACATAAAAGAAGTCAAAGGTCCTAATTGCCTTGAATAAATTAAACCCAAGGCCGGCCTCAAAATTAGCCAATGGGTGACAAGGTGTCCTTGCCTCTTATCTAATCTGGATGTTGGATTATGAGGAGGAGGTACCAAGGATGCAGGCAAGAGATTTGGATTCCTCCAGAGTCAGTCACTATTTGGAAGGCACTACTGTGACCTTACCAGAGCCAGAATTGATTCCAGGACATCTGATAAACTGTCTGATTAGCCCTGTCCCCTTGGTTTTGAGCAGAAGTGCAGCCCAGAGAGAGAGAGAGAGAGAGAGAGAGAGAGAAAATAGTAAGATTAAGAATATTCATTTAAAGTCAGAAGTTGACCTCGTCAGATCCTTCTCATATCCAATATCTTTCTTATATTGATTAATGTTATCCTCTTAAAGAAGTTCTGTTTCATCTGATGTAACTTAAGACTTTGGTAGAATTCTTGTTGAATCACTTAATAAGTACAGGATATAACTGTTTCTTTTAATAATTAATTATTGTCTTTATTTGAAAAAAAAACTTAGTTTATTATTATGTACTTTGTTTAAAAGAACACAAGAGTTCCATTTTTCCAGAACTTCTGTCTGGACCAGAACAGCCTTACCACTTGAATCAACAACAAAGCAAGGGATCAAAACTTAAAAGAGAGGAATAATTATAGAACTGAGAAATTTGGCTTAGGAATAGGCAGTACTGATCCCATGTTACGTCACACCAGGTTGGATCCAGCTAACCTTTTTTGTCCACTGGGAGGATTTCATGGGATATGGATGATCATATGATGATCATGTATATGCATACTTTCTTCCATTCTTCCATACTTTCTCCTGAGAGTCACACCTAGTCCTGACTCTCTGGCATACCACACAAAACCAACCAGCTGAGACAAGCCAGCATGATTACTGCTTCCATACTTTCAGAACATCCTCTTTGCATTCCAGGTTGGGCAAATAATGAACTTACTTGATAGTAAAAGGGTTAATGGTGCCTAGTGCTAGGACAGCAACATCACGCACTGGTGGAGATTCACATCGAAGAAGTGGGAGCAATAGCTTATATAAAGCACTGGGTGGATGAGATGAGGATAAGGCAGATGAAGACGATGATCCAGTGCTGCAGGTCTGTTTCAAAATCACTAGAGATGAATCCTTCTCCCCACCTCCAGTCTCAGGAGATGAACTACCACACAGCAGACACATAAAAACAGTCAATTTGTGTAGCCAATCATCCAATACAATTTCAGCCATAGCATGCAAAAGTCATCCATCAGGACTAGATACACCAAAATTTCAAGATAAAAAAAAATTAATTATACAGGGTGTTCCATTTATCTTGAGACCATGAGAATGTTGATTTAAAAGAAAACTGCATAAATAATTTCAAGTTTCATTTCATATTGCCCATGGACTCCTGGAGCCTGGGACACTGTACAGGAAGTGGAACACCATTTTGAAAGTCACTAAGAGTTACTGTGCAGAGAAGCTTCAGACAAGAATTTCAAACATGAGACTCTCCCACTAAATTCATTATTCTGCAGTACATTGCTGAATTTAGGGAAGGGGGATCTGTGGCTGATAAGAAGCACGACCACATACCATCAGTGTGAACAGCGAAGACGATAGCTGCCACAAGCTCAGTGATTCAGCAAAGCCCAAAGAAATCTATTTGTCCGTGTTGAGCCAGACAGTTGTGGGTACAACACCTGCACACCTGTTCTGCACAACTGTTCATTGCATAACCCACAAAGATCTAAACATGTTTGTTTGTTGTTTGAATTGCGCAGATGTTGTACCCACACCTGCCTGGTTCAACAAGGACAAATGGATTTCTTTGGGCATTGCTAAATTGCTGAGCTTGTGGCAGCTATCATCTCTGCTCTTTGCACTGACAGTGTGCGGTTGTGCTTCTTATCAGTCACAGATCCCCATTCCCTAAATTTGGCATCATACTGCAGAATAGTGGATTTACTGGGAGAGTCTTGTGTTTGAAATTCTCGTCTGATAGTTCATCATGCAGTCACTAGTGAGTGACTTTCAAAATGATGTTCCACTATCTTCTTTAATTTCCCAGGCTCAAGGAATCCATGGTCAACAACTTAGCAGCATTTTATCTCCAATCTGAAATGAAAATTGAAATTATTTACAGTTTTCTTTTAAATCAATATTCTCATGGCCTCAAGATAAATGGAACACTCTGTATAAGGCTATTAGTTGTAGTTAATGTATGTGCCTCAGAGATGGCCATATTCATATGTAACCTGAGGTTAACTTTTTGTAAATTACCTAAGGGGACTTGATTCATGCATTAATGACAACTTTTTTTACATTATTCTCAAATATTCCTATGCCTAAAATTATTTTGGTTGGGTCTTTTGTGATAACTCTGTCATCATAATGGACAGATCAGCAAACAAGTTGGGTGACATGACACTTGCTCATTCCTTCACTCTTCACTTGTGGCATTTCTGAAACCAGGAGCAAGAATATGTGATGAGGAAGAAAAACTGGTTCTCATGAGCTACTTGTGTAAACTTCCTGATAAAGCAGAAAATTGTGAATAAAGGAACATAACCATACACAACTATACTTTGCAATACATGAAAACCTTATTGACATAAAATATTCACTTTTTTCTTGAAGAATTGATGTTGAAACCTTGCCATATGTATAAGTGACATAACTATAGAATGAAGATGAAATCACATTATGGACAAAAAAAGAGGAACTTTTGCATCCACTCTTGAGTCAAAACTAATGATGTGAAGCATGGAGGCCAACATACAGTGGTTGCTATTAAAGTTATGGGAATATTTATTACAGAATACTGCAAACATATATTGATACTTCTTTCACATGTGCCCTTTCTATGAGGGGTGTTCAAAAAGTCTTTGGACATTTTCTATTTCTGTCCCTTGGCCTAGCCCAACATGCTTGCACATATGCAAGCCTAACAGCCATCATGAGCACAACAAATCATTCAGAGCAAGAGATAATATCAGCTATACCATTCAGTCAGCAAACCTACTTCTGAATATCAACAATGGAAGGTGACATGCAAGGACAGTATGGTTCCTGTGGAAGGAAGGGAAAAAGACTGTCATCATTCACAAGCTTCAAGCAGTGTGTGAAGTCTGCAGCATCAAAACAGACTGTCTACAACTGGATGCTTTCTTTTAACCCTTTCACCGTGGCTCTCGAGTAAACTTGTTTTCCATTATTGTTCTCAGCCGTGGTCCTGAATATAACTCAGTGGTGAAAGGTGGTTGTCAAATGACTGAAAATGCACCATGATCTGAAAGACCTAAGAACCTTCACAACAGAAAACACATCGCAGCTGTTGAATTATTGGTCATGAACAACAGACGAATCACACACAAGTAGCTTGTCCTCGCAGTTGGAATCTCAGTTGGAAAAGGCTTGTGTACATTGGGTGCCATGACTGTTGACAGAGGAATCAAAGGTGCAAAGGGTACAGATGAGGGCAGAACTGCTCTGCTTCTGTGATGAAGGCAGTGTTGAGAGGCACGACTGAATGTCCTGGGTTCAGTGGTGTAATGGTGACCACCTGACCGGCAATCAGGAGGCCCAGGTTCAATTCCTGGCCGTCCCCTGGCTTTCTTTCGTCCTCTCTCGTCCATCCAACCTCCCTACCTTCAGTTATTCACATGACACTTCCACAGCAGTAATCCAGATACTTTGTTACTGGTGATGAAACGTGGTTCCACTTCTACATACTAGTGACGAAACAACAATCTAAGCAGTGGAAGCATATTGACAGCCTTCCATCAAAAAAAGGCAAAAACATCACCATCAGCAGGTAAGTGAATAGTGACAGTCTTCTGGGACACAGAGGGCATTCATCTCCTGGAATGGCTTCTGGAGGGGCAAACCATCAACAATGACTATTATACGAGCATCCTGTCAAAGCTTAAAGGTGTCATCAGGTTGAAACACAGAGGGAAATTGAGTGTATGGGTTCTGCTGCAGCATGACAATGCAAAACTGCAAATCAGCTGGCAAACATAGAATGCCATAGCTGATCTGGGTTGTGAGGTGTTACAACACTCTTGGTACTCACCAGAACTGACACCAAGTGATTACTAGCTCTTTGGTACTATGAAGAAACCCCTCAGAGGACAAAAGGTTTTCAAATCTGCAGGCACTTGATTTGGCAGTGCAGCAGTAAGTTTGGTCTACCACAAAAACATGGTTCAAAGAGGGACTAAACAAACATCAAGAATGTTGGCAGAAGTGTGTGCCAATTGGTTTGTTGAAAATGTCCAGTAACTCCTACTTGACAATAAATATTTATGCTGCTGATAATCCACAAATTTCCAGCATGTCACATATCTGCAATACTTCTATAACATTCTAACTGGCTTTGTTTTGATTGTCTAGCATTCCTTGAAACCGCATCTTTATGTCACAAAATTCTGAATATGCCCTCCCCATCTTGTCTTCAAAATGTCATTCCTCCTACTCACTAACATAATACATGTTTTGCCAAGGAAAAAAAAAACTATGTACTCCTTACAGAATAACACTTTCCTTTCATTGCTCATTCCACTATAGAACGAAGAAAATCTGGAACTCTCTCCCTGTAAACATTCACAACGTTCCTGTCCACAGCAAATTCAATATAGCCCAAATAAACATGTTCAAACTAGCAAATATTTAAAATAAATTCAAAATTGAGAATAGACAAGAGCTCTTGGTAACAGGGAGAAAGGGTGGTGAGAGCTTTCACTGTTGACATTCGAAATTTCCTTTCCTTTAGTTTTTTTTAAGGCAATGTTCAATTTAAATGTTTGAATTGTCATAGAAGATCACTCATAACTTTGATTTGAATTGATAGATTTGATTTGGAAACCTTGACTTTCAAATACAGGCATGCTACATCCTCAGGAATTTTAGTGATACATTGTATGACTTAAGAAGTCATAAGATAGACTTGAAATCATCTGTCTTTTTTGCCATACCATGCAGACTCAGGCTCATGTAAACCAAGGGAAATTCTAAAGAACTTTGAGAAAACTCTTTGGATTGATATTCAATGATCTATATGCCATTAATTGGGAATAATAAGTTCATGTAAACTATCTGAAAGAGACGACCAGCCAAAGGAAAGAATTTGAGTGGAAGAGAAGTTTGAAGTGGTCTTGATGACCAGGAAAGGCAAGGCTCAATTGTTTCCTCCATTCCACCACCAGCAGGAGTTCTTGTCCATTTAAATGTTTAACTTCTTATAAATAATTGCAGCTGGTTCCAGCAGATTTTCCAGCTGAAATTTTTCATACGATTATGTGCATGGGGCACATGTTAAATAAGTATCAATATACCTGGCTTGCAATTTTCTACAGTGAAAATTCAAAGAACTATAATGCTAAACCTGATATTTATCAACCAAGTCAACCATATCACATCATACCCAACTTAACCCTCGGACAGGCAAGGCATGATCTGTCATATGCATGGCCATGGGGTGGACTCATCAAGCCCACAGATGTAAATAGTACTTTCTTCATACACTTTAATCTGCTCTTTCACTAAACATCAGTTAAATTTAGAAAAACCCTTGGGAAGTGTTTCCTGCTGTTTCACATGAATTTGGAGGGCAATTACAATATCCTTTAAAATTTCGGGCAAAGGCCCAAATTTCCTAACTTTTTTGGAAAATTCAACAAGTGGGTTCACAACAAGCTCCACCCTCAGCTGTTCTAAGGTTAATGGTCTCTGCAGTCTCATTGACAATCTATCACTTGAATGTGATTGGTTAAAGAAAGTTGCAAATGTGAAAGATTGCATTGGCATACATGTGATGTCATTGCATTACCACTGCCAAAGACAAACTTATTGGTGGGATTTGTCTAATGATACAACACTCATTCAGCAACCAGGTACTTGATGCTAACATGAGGCCACCGGGGAAAAAACTGAGGTAAAATTACCAAGAATGGCATAATTCTACATTTGATCAGAACATTGAACATCCCAAGATTTTAATAGAGAGGTTGATTTTTTAGTTAACCACTTTGGTGATTTGCTTGTCTCTGATGTGGGTGACATTGTCCTTCCAAAAACTGACTTACCCGCATGAGACACAGGCAACTTGTGTTTCATTGTTTCATTCCTGATTTGCCCAAATAAATGAATAAAATACATACACAAACATATTTTGTTCAAACAAAGTCTGCAGAATCAAAATCTACACTAAAAAATTGAAATTTTTGGTTCAATTCCTTGCAAAAAAATAAACGCTCAGTGGTAAAGTTAGCAAAACTACTGAGGCTTCAATCTCAAAGTATTCCTGTCTCTAGCAAATGTAAATGTTAGCAATGAATTTAGTTCAGGAAGAAAGAAAAACTTACCTGAGACCTAAATCAGGTGAGGCACATCTAAATGTGGAGCTCGTATTTGGCAGCACAACCCGGCATGAAAAGATGGCATAATTCTTCCACAAAAGGAGTTGTGCATCTTTTTCATTGATGGGCTTTTTTATGGTGGATGTACTTCGAAGCAAGGATGCTCTGTTGTCAGTCACTGGGCTGAACAGAAAGAGATGACAGGGATTACTTTTAATCTCTTAATTGGGGAAATTTCAATCCATGGGTTTTCCATCAACAGTAAGTTTTTTCCAGTAAAGTAGATTGATTTTGTATTTGAACAAATGTTTAGTTAACAATCAAATTGTTTTATTGTAGTTGAATGTTATTAGTAAAGATATATAGTAACAGAAACTTTATCAATTTTACCACTGAAAGTGGAAAAATTATCTTGGACCAAAATATTCATCTAACACTAAAAAGGTAAAAAGCTCAAAGTTCTTGTCAAAGAGAGCAATTACTCACTTGGGGTCAATAACAGGGAAGAGGGACATGAGTCGAGAGTGAACAATGGGCCATGCATGAGCCATGGCAGAGGGGCATTGCAATGGAAGATTATCTCTTTCCAGGAATAAAATCAGGACATTTGACCAAGCATCATAAGCCACACTGATGGGGAGTGTCCAAATCTTCCCACCTCCATCCTGACAGCTTTCCCATGACCCTGACATGTACATATAAAATCTCTCTGTAAACCCAGATCCATATTGATATTCTGAGACATCGTTCTATAAATATCTAGAATGGTTTACCTCCAGTCCAAATAATATGAGTGCGATCCACCAACCACTGCATATCCAAGGTAGAACCAGTGGAAGAGATGGCAGCCTTTTCTGATGCAGGTAGTAAGAAGGTACATTTCTCCAAGACTGACTGAGCTTTTTTATCAAGGACATCAATCGCCCATTCTTCGGATGATAGCATGCCTAAATATGAGTGATCATGAAAGTCACCAAATTATTCAGTAAAGTAATTGATAATTTTCATTGTCATATGGTTCAAAATCTGACCTAGAGAAAGTGCAAGGTGCTTGACTTCTTTGAGAATGCCAACTGCCAACTTGCGAGGAAGGAGCCGAACATGACAAAGCATGACAAGAGCAAATCCCTCCAGAAAATAGAGAACGCTCATGGAATGATCAGAGCCCTACAAGAAAATGCATTCATGTTTATAATATGCCATGCCTGGAGAATTATGCATCAAAGGGATCCAGATTGATACCTGCTGTCCACTTCTTTCAGAGGATCTCTTCAAATTTAACCCAGGTGAAGAATTTTTCCATGTAGTCAAAAGTTGGAGGAGAACTCGAAGCCCATGATCCAAGAGCTGTGGGAATGTGTCAGTCACTTCCTTCACAAGGAAACTTGCATAACCTGTAGGCAAGATGCAGATGTGAAATACCACCTTACCTATCACATTATCTCATTACACATCAGAAAAAGATGTAGCTAAAGGATTAGTAATAACATATTTACCACAGACTACTGATGTATTTCTATAACTCCATAGAGCATAGTTTCAGTATGAAGCATGCAAAGATGTCCATCAAGGACTCATTCCTTAAAGCATCCCACCAGATGTTGCACATGTGACAGGGGTCTCTCTGACAGAAAACTATGCGGAATGTGTGCAAGATGCTGAAGTGAACATAATGCACAAAACTGAGTTTTCTTTCAATATCCAAAAGGTCACAGTCTCTGATTTCAGGGCTATCAATTTAACATAGAGGCATATTTGCCAATAGTGATGTCCTATGTCAAGGTCAAGCTTTCATGTACAAAAAAAATGGCCTTACTCTTCTTAATCCTCTCAGTCCTGCAATAAAAAATACAAATGACACCAAAAAAATTTTCTTTACTCAAGCCTCCTCAATGAAATGTCCTTAGCCACAAAAATACAAATTCCAAAAGAGGTGTAAGGGAATCAGAGGTCCCATGAGGCCTCAAAAGTCATGCAATCCTGTATAACTCTGCAAAATACACAGAAAAATTTGTGACTCCTGAGCCCTACTCAGACTGAAAGGGTTAAATATACAGGTAGATCTTTTTCAGGGACCATTTCCACTTACTGCCTGGTGCAACAAAAATCAGTCCAATGTCAACAAGCATGCATGCAGGATGTATCCACATGTGAAAAGTGTAGTCTCCAGCACCACTTTACAATTTTTGTATAATTCTGATATTTAATTTGCCTGAAAGCAAGTGGTATTAAAAATGATTAAATTTCGTTGGGTATGCAGCCTTTAATCCCTTCATTCTTTTTATTTAATTCTAATGAATTTTGGGTAGGCTGTGTAAAGCAAAAGAAATGTCACAAATGAAAACTAGAAATGAGCATGGGTTCGGATGATTTTCTCATATTTCTTGCTTGAGCCTAATAGTAAGACCAGGGGTTATAAGTTTGAGAGATTCACCTATAAGAATATTGTCTAAGTTGAAGACCAGTGCAATTGTTCACATTATGTGAGTTAGCACTTGATTGAGTGACATCGATGCAATTATAAAGGGTGATTTTTATTCATAGGACCATTATAAATATTTATAATCTTGGAAAAAATAGAGCTAGATGCATGAAATTTCGCATCAAGAATCCATAAAAATCCTTAAGTTATATTCTATGAAGAAACATGTTCAATGTGTCCTCCTCTGTGCACAATCACCGGTCGTAGGGGTGTGGTATAATTCTACACAACCACATGCAGAGTAACCTGGGAAATGGAGTAGACTTCATGTTCTGTGGCCGCCTTCAAGTCTCCAAACGTGCATAGATTTAACTTTGACTTGAAGACTTTGTTCTTTAGGTTTCCCCAGAGAAAATAGGATTGAGATTGGAGAGAAATGGTGACCATAATAATTCACTGCTGTGGATATCAGGAAATTTGCTAGACAGCATTCTGGCACTAGAGTTCTTGTGCAGGAAGTCTAACATAATGTTCACTATGTTGGCATGCCACAATCTCAATCCATGCGACTATTTTTTCTGGGGATACCTAAAGAACAAAGTCTTTGAGTCAAGGTTAAATTCATGCACGTTTGGAGGCCTGAAGACGGCCACAGAATGTGAAGTTATTCCATTTTCCTGGATACCCTGCAGACAGTTGTGCAGAATTACACCACACCCCTACGACATGCAATTGCGCACAGAAGAGGACACATGGAACATGTTTTTTCATAGAGCATAACTTTCACATGTTTATGGATTCTTGATGCAAAATTGCAGACATCTAACTCTATTTGTTCCAAGATTATAAATATTTATAATGGTCCCATGAATAAAAAATCACCCTGGGTACTTGATTTGAGTGATGAAGACAGCAGACAATTTGAGAGTGACTCTATTGTGCACTGTTAAAGTCTGTGAAAATTCCCTGCCAGTTTAGGGTGGAATATTGACATTTCTGTCAGCCAATGAAAGGGTTAATTGAGAGAAGTTGACTCTGTTCTGCAAGTGCCACAATACCATGCAGTGTTGCCAAATGTTTGATGCCAAATGCCAGCTCAAATTTAATTAAAATTGCACATTAAAACCAGGTATCTGCTATTTGGGAGTGCTGCAGACAACTACTAAAAGTTCATGGAAATTTGTCCACACAAGTGGAACCAGAGCTGCAAAGGATTACGGGTATTTCTATAACCTGTGAAGATATAGATTATATATTGCAGGGCAATCAATAAGAGTCCTAATGGATTGCGAAAATAAAATGTAATAGAAACCTGAGACCTCATACTTCAACCCTTCAGCTAATCCTACCCCCACCTCTAAGGCCAAAGTTAAAGGAAGTTAGGTAAATTTCGTCTTGGTCGAGTGTTCGTAAAGTGCAGAAGTGTTGGAGGATACTCTCGAGGTTCTGACAGCTAAGTCGTGAGCTAGTCGTTATTTGGCTACCTTGTAGCAGTATCACAAGTTTTCTGATAGTTACCTCCAACTTCACATTAGATTAATATCAGGTAACCAAAAAAGTTCGTGCAGTTTTTGAGGTTGAAATTACAGCGTATGTAAAAAGTGAATTTAGATACTGTATATATATCTTGATTTCTTCTTCCTCTGTTTGAGTTGAAGCTGCATGGTTTTCCTTGCCATGTCATGGTGGAACGAGGACATTGCTTCCATTTGCCATTCGAAAACTGTGGCTATGAAGCACCCCGCATGCGATTAAGTTCTAAAGCGGCGATGTATGCAGAGGAACACCTGCCCAATGACGAACTGAATCATAAATATGACACCGATCTACGGCTGGCGTCGAACTGATTCAATTTATTTATATCAATAATGTACAAGGAAGTTAAGAATGGGTCAACGAGAAGTCAGACTACAACTGACTGCAGTTGAACAGTAAAGAAACTGAAGCGAGTGGCAACTGCAGTCTTACCATAGTCCAACTACAGTCAAACAGGAACTGGAGAATGATTTCAAAATCTCAGTCCGTTCCAAGTCCAGTCGTAGTTCCAGTTGACTGCAACTGCAACCAAACTGGGACCATCTTAGGACTATAGTTCAACAGCAATTGAACTGCGGCTTTGAAATCAACCTAGGTTTCATTTGTTGTTCGGTTGCAAGTAAGAACTCCCACGTAATTCTTCTGTTATATGCGGCACTGGCAGGGGCGCAACCAAGGGAGGGATCAGGGGGTCTGAACCACCCCAAACCCCTGCAAATAATGGTATCTCTTTACTTCTCCATCTCCCTCTCCCCCGAGGTTGGGGGAAAGGTATGAGCAAACGACCCGAGAGCGAGGCTGGAAAGGCACAAAGATAGGAGGTGAAAGGTGAAGGTCATGCCAGTTACATGTAGCAACTCACTTTAGTAAAGTGAACCTGTCAAGGAAACGTCCTGCACGTGACGCTATTGAATTTTTTCTGAAATCGGAAGGACGATGATTCAAATAAAAGGCGTGGTTAATGAATTTCCAGTTGCACATTTCCGCAGTGATATTTGGGCTGAATCCCGAAATTAATTTAGTTCATTTTAAGCTTTCTTCAAATATCGAATGTGCTTTCATCATTTAGAGTTCAAATTCCGTTTCCACCATTTCATAACATTTTTCTTCGTTTCATTTTCTTTGTTCAAGTGTTCGTGCCATCTCGCGTTTTTGTTGAGTACATCTCTCCTGATGATTTGATCAACACCTTGCATTCGGAGACATTTAAAAGACATGAGAACTTCGAACCCCCCCCCCCCCCAAACTTTAGGGCTGATTGCGCCATTGGGCACTGGTAAAACCCCAGTTGGAATATTGCATCCAGTTTTGGAGGCCTACAAATAAGGGAGAATTGTTGGCACTCGAGGGAGTACAGAGGAGGGCCACACGAATGATTAAGGAGGTCAGGGGACTTCTGTATGAGAAGCGTTTAGAAGTGATGGGACTGTACTCGCTCGAGAGAAGGTTAACACGTTGACGACCAGCCTATTTTTGCTTGTCCGCCGTGTGGGACCACGTGCATTTTTTTTGTCAAAAAATGCGTCCTGCCATCAGCACGCATGGTCCCAGAAAACATTTTTTGTTGCCGAGTTTTTTTAAAATGTTGAATTTTTTGGAATTTTTATCC